CTTTTATATGTGATGTACCCACTGAATCAAAACCATTTGTACCATGATTGAAAACTTTTATTCTTAGTGGCAAATGGATGTTATAAAAGTTGGCAGTAAACAGCACAAAATAGATATCATTTCTTGTTTAAAAAGGTTGATGATTTTAAAATTTTAAAAGGTATAGATCTTGTTTTTTTGGCCCGTCTTGTTTTTTTTCCCCCTATCGCATTAGATTTGGAGTCTGCCGAGGATGTCATCCATAAAATTTACATGCTGTGGCCTTAGTGGAAAATGTAAAGCAATGGTAGGCTCCTCGGAAACAAAGAAAAGAAGAAGAGAAGAGAATGTTGAATGAACTTCTTTGATCACCCCAGTTGACAAGAATGTTTTGGCTTTATGTGTTGTCTCTTCGGTGATGGATATTTCCTAATTTGTGAGAATATTTTTGACACCCCTGTCTCGGTAATGGTTGAGTCCGAGTTGACCTCGGGGTTAAAAGAAAATGGCCGCCGAAAACGTGATGGACGACTCTGTTTTGGACTCAACTGGTGAAGTCGACCCTCCTGCAAGGTTTGACAATCTCCTGATGGTGTTTGATACAAGAGATATCTAGCGTAACATAGTAAGATGTAAAGTAAAGGATTTAAGCACGAGTAGAGGTGTACTCACACAAATTTGCGACCTCGCCTCGGAACAAAGAAACAAAACAAGGTGTGCAAAACCAACCTCCTTGGCCAAGCCAAAAAAAAAAAAAACAACTTGGCCAAAGATACCATGCTAATACTGGTAATGCTACATGTAGATAATCGCAAGCCATGCAAGATAGTTCTGCTGGATCTGTGATATCGATGTGTGAGTAAGGCCTAAGGAAAGAAATGTGTTTCCTGTTTGAGTCCTGAAAAAAATTTAGGGTCTGTAGGTAGGGATTATCTTTTTTTAGACCTTGGCGATCTCTAGTGATACTTGTAGTAGACTTTTGGGATCTCTAGTGATCTATAGAAGTTGGATCTCTAGATCTAAAGATTTCCAAAGTCTAATCACAGTTTAACAAAGTAAAACTTGCATAGGCCATGTATATTTTCAATGTCAATATTGGAAAACCGATTGTACATATTTTTTTTTTTTTTATCACTTGGGTGTCAGATCATTGAGCTTGAAAAGTTCGATCAGCTCGAAACATTTATTTGATTTTCTGTTGCAGGGTCCACACAAAAAAGGCTAGGGTCGGCAGTTTTTTCTAGGGTCAGGAATCGCGACATTTTTTTCTAGGCCTAAAGCATATCTGAAAATGATTCTCCATTTTGTTTCAACAGTGTTGAAAGAAGCACAACTGACAACAATGTTGTGCCCATACCGCCCCCGGCAGTCCTGCACACACAACCAGAGGTCAGGTACAACTGGACAGACATCACACAGGACTTCCTCACGTCATGTGAAGGTGAGGAGTATATTAAAACTTGTGACTGTTTTTTGCCAAATTTTACTACATCATGTGTAAGGAAGTGACCTCTGACTTCCCTCCCTTATTACGACCTGGCATGACCCCGATTACGAGTAATGGATCACGATTATGATTTGTTTTTGGTGTAAATATTGTTGTATTTCCGTGTATATACGTGTCGTACCCAGGGCCACTCTGAAAAGCAGTGCTATGACACTGAGTAGTGCCACCCTGGTAAAAGAATACAGAAATAAATAAATAAAAAATAAGTTTAGACAGAAACTGTCTTGTAAACCCGTGATCAGTTTCATTGGGTTGGAATTAGTCACTGAGTAAAGAAACCCTTTTTACGTGACAAAGAGGTTAATTCAACCTACATTTCCAGTGACCATCATCATCAAAACGTTTTCAGACACTGTCACAGTCCGGTCACGAGTGTAATGCGATGTCAATTCATGTTTGAAGTTAAGCTTACAAGGGACCCACCACTGGAGGTCCCATGTTTGGGGAGAGCCATACCCCACGCAAGTTAAAGAACCCACCGCACTTATCGAGAAGAGTAGGGGACCTTCCCGGTGTGAGTGGTTCTAACCCTACAATCCGGTCTTACGCGGCTGGTACTTACGTGTACAAAACTGGTGTGTTACGCCTTAAGGCGGTTTACCAGTTATGTGAAACAAACCACGATAAGAAAATCACCTTCCTGTTATCTCTTACAGAACTTGAACTTGGAGAGCTGATGCATGATGCCAAGTGAGTTGAAAGTATCTTTTGTGTTAAGTTCTGATTGTACCTGTCCAGTGTTTCCATTATTTGTAGTCATCTTAAATCTGTTGGTCCGTGTAAGGTCCAAACATACTTTTGTGAAAAATACAGAATTTTCTTCAGGGAAATTGTAACAGTGAGGTTCAAGCACCACCAACTGGCCAGTCCAACTGGTCTGGATCTTTTAGTTTTCAGCCTTGTGGTTAGGTTAGTTTAGTTAGTTTGTGCGGCCAGGGTTCGAATCCCGGGAGCCAGGAGACTGCCTACTTGCCCCTTTGTGTTTTTCATTCAAAGTGCTCAGTCTTACGGATGATGTTTTTATGTGGCAATGTTGTTGCTGATGTTAATTATGTATGTTCCCAGTTTTGGGCTGTTTGAGGCCATGTCTGCTATAGAGATGATGGACCCAAAGATGGATGCAGGGATGCTGGGAAACCGAGGAGACAGGGAGGTCCTCAACTTCCAACAGGCAATACAGGTACCCTGGGTTTCAACTTGGTCACGCATAAGAAAAAATGTTGTGTTTTTTTTCATTCCTCAATCTCAAACATCGCATTTTTGCCTCACAGCACTTTTCTTTCTTACTGTATTTGGTGTTTTTTTTCAGAGAGAAACAGTGAAACTCAAAGACTTGACTGCACCAGAGCTGATTGGTATCATTGACACAATGCTATCCAGCATGGTAAGTACGATGTAGATGGGACAAAACAGATGTAGTGCATAAGAAATTAAGCATTACCCCATATATGAGAGTTGAGTCTCCATGTTTAGTTGTATCACTGCTTTATTACTTCACTATTAGCTCAGAGTCATGAATTACATGTAGCTTTTTGTTAGGTGCAAGGAACATTTGATTTTGACATTTACAAATTGGCAAATACATGTACATGTAAGATGCTCACAATGCATCGTTCAGTTTATTTATGTAATTTGTATGATATGTCTGTTACTCCAGGAAGACTAGCTACATGCTTGCCTTTTTGTACTTGTATGTTTGCTAATGGAGGAAATAAAGCACCTAAATGAGCCCTTCAAGCCAAGAAGAGATACCGTCAAACTTGTCTAAGACGACCACCCATGGGACCAAGGAAATGTGGTCTTCTAAGACAAGTGGTCTTCTTATACAAAAGCATGGCGAGAAGACCAGACAGAGAACAAGAACACCCATTTTACAATAGACTGTCCCACTGATCCTAACTAACCCAGCCAGTGCCGTTTCTCATTGCGCAAAGACTGCCATGCTGTCGAAATCAATGACAAACTGACAGATTCCATCAAGATTTTTTCGCATAGATTTACTATGTCATCATCCTTGTAACAGCCCTTTGTCCCACACCTTCCTCCTCCCCAGGTGACGTGGCTAGAAGGCCACTCCCTCGCCCAGACAGTGTTCACCTGTCTGTACCTGCATGACCCTGAGCAGGTGGAGGACAGGTGCATGCGAGCCGTCGCTCTGGGTGCCCTCAAACTGGTCGACCTCATCAAGAACAACGTCAACAGGGCCAGCGTCTTTGAAGAGGTCAGAAAACTTGGCGTTCTCTTGTTCTTAATGCTTTCTGCTGAGGTAGCCATTGTGCGGTCCTGGGTTCGAATCCTGCCATGTCATTTATCTAATAATGTGCCCTTGTTAGAGACCCTAAGTAACGTTCCTTTTTGCTGATACAGGAAGACTTCCAGACCATGACCTATGGTTTCAAGTTAGCTTGCAACGTCACAGATGTTAGAGTTACTGGTGAGTACTGAAGATTTCAATGATTCTTTGTTTCCCCAAAGAGTCAGTCTGAGTGGTTACAGGTTTGCTAATTGATATACATGTAGGAGCCTTTTGCAGGTCTCCCATAGTTTTTGTGATTGCTTGACTGTGTAAAATTTGAATGTAATGTTTCCTTTTGATTCACAGGCATGTTACGTGAAGTTGAAGACGAGATTAACAGAAAAGTAAAGGTGAGTTAAGGAAATAAATCCTTTTGTGTTCCAGTGTTCTTTTGTAAACATAAACGACATTGCTATATGGCTTCAATCTACTGTGTTCGGCTTACAACATGTTTTGTCATTCTTACAATCCATGAAATTCTAACCATGTTATTGATGTACCGAGTTGTGTTGCATTTTTTGTGATCACTTCTGTACTATGAATTAATCATTTACCATGAACAAATACTCGGTAGGGTTAAGGCGGCTTAGGCTGATATTCATGTTCGAGTTCGGGCGTGTGTCTGCAAGATTGCCACAGACTTGTTTCGAACCCGAATCATGTTCCACCATGTTCGATATGACGTCATTCGAATAGAACGCGTGTTCGAATTCGGGGTTACCGGCGGTCATTTTGTATGTTTCCCCTGTAAACCCGCGTTGTTACGCATTTTATTCACGGAGTATGACTTAAAAGGCTTTACGCGCAGCTGAAAACAGCATAATTGATCTTTAGAGTAATCCATGTTTACGTATTATAACTTTTTTTATCAAAATTGTCCGAGGCTATTTTGCATATAAGTGGATATTTTTTAACTATTGCGATTTTTTAACTAAAAATGACAGAAAAATAGCTGTTTCTGTCCTTTTTGGCCCAAAAAAACAATGTAACTGTCATTTAAAACAAAATAGCCTTGGACAAAAATAATAAATAGGGGGTTGGCTTTCTACTTGTAAAATATCACGATGAAAGGTGTTGTTACCGCTTGCGCGTAAAGCCATGAAGTAAACAACTTTTTTTAAACCAAAATGTTGATTTTTAACCCAAAAATCCAGAAGTAGTAAAAACAAAATAACCTTTATTCAATGTGTTTTAAGTACTACTAGAACTGTGTGAAGTTTAGTTGTGGTGCGACCAAGCTATCAAAAGTTACAGGCATATGTATGAAATACTACTCATAGTATGCCATAGGCTGCCTTAACCCAACCGAGTAATGTGCCGACTTTCTTCTGCACCTGCCGCTACCACGAACATATACATATAGTTCTGCAAACACATCCATTTTCCTCAGACTGCAAAATTTTTTGCTACTGCGAACATATAGTGATTTACTGTTACTGTAGTTGTACACTAAATATCAACATTGTGCTACATGTAGAGTCTTGTCACACACCAAAGGGGGAAATGTTTTGTATGTAGGATTGCTTTCACACGCTTGTTGTTCTATTTGTTTGTCAGAGCACCAGATGTAAACAGGGAGAGGAGAGAGATCCCCAGACTGAACTGGAGGTATTGGATAAAACTTTCCATCATGAATTTGAAAGTTACCAAGCTTTGTTTTGCTTTATATCCCTTAAAGGCCTCTAATGCAATTTCAGGGCAAGTAAATTTTCTGGAAAGGTCATTCTTTTAATGTAGTAGGTTGAATGAAATCTATACCATGGCATACTGATATCTGTGAGGCAAAAAATGGAATGTCACCGATGGAAAACGGTTGCTCATTTGTATCATAGGCTGGTACATTTTGTATTTATGGGCAGTACCAAAAAAATATAGAGATGCCTCACGTAGCTTGTTGTCTGGCTATTTTGTGTGCTTTAAATATGAAAATTAATGATGACAAACATGTGCTTAGAAATGGCAGTAAATGTCATTATCAGACAGATTTCCTCATCCAGATTTTTGTTTTGCTGCCCAGAAATTGCATTGGATACCTAAAAATCCATCGCTTTCCTGTCAAGTAAAATTATGCTCTGCAGGATGCTGTTTTCCTTTTAGGAAAGAGAAAGTTAAAAAAATGTTTCCAGAGATAGTAAATGTGCATACTGTACCTTTGTATGTTGCAGCATCAGCAAAATGTTGCGCTCCAGGCTAGGATGAAGTTTTGTCGCCTGCTGCTTACTGCTCTTATAGCCTTCAACAAACCTCAGGTAAGACTCATCACTGGAATAGCCACCCATCATCAGTCTCACAGACCAAATCAAGTTGTCATAGTTTAGCTATTTGTGTTTGTTAGTGTGGCTTTTTAATTTTGACTTCCAAGGAGTACAGAAATCAAACAGTCTGTATGTTCATAGCTGTAAGTCACAACCCCTTTGCTGCATTGGTAATACTATGTAGTTTTTATAGGTCTGACTCATAATATTTCAGAAAACACCCCTATTTTGATGGATTTGTGGTACAGGTCATTAATTTCGTCAGCCTTTGTGGGTGTGCGTTAATAGGGTTTTTCCAAGCAGATACATGTACATGGGTGATTTGAGGTGCTAATTTCATGGAGTTCACGTTAGTAGCGTCTTCGCCCACTCTGCCAAAAGTGATTTGTGAACTCTTGTTCTTGGAGTCTCAAATAATGATAAGCATCAGATCAACATTGTGAAAGAAGATTTACTTTACCTGAAATTCACCTAGTAAACTTATGCATGTACAATGTACATGAATAAGTTTTTACATACTGAATTTCTTCCAATGTGTAGTGTACATGTAGTACATACTCAATTTCCCCCAACAATGTGTAGTTCATGCAACTGTAGTTCCACCTTCCCCTGTGCCATCTCCAGTGTAGTGGTGTGACTGATGGGAAGAGACTCCTGCTGCAGGCAGGGGAACTGTTGGAGGTGATGAAGAACACCATCCACCATGGAGTTCACCCAGACGAGACAGCTACACCAGGTGAGACCACAGCTGATGAAGTCCCTGTCACACAGTCAGGAATTTGGCCTCCCGAACACTGGCCAAACATGCTTCATCCATGGTTAGGAGTAGGCTGGCACAAAGTTGGCTGGTGTTCTGCAAATTCCGCTACGTATTTGGATGTTTAAAACATATTCAGGGGTTGATCATAGTTAGCTGTTGTTCGGCGGTAAGTTAGTAAATTACCATGCCAGCCAACCATTCAGATCGGGAGTAATTCAACAGTGTACTTAGCGGGTTTGGGCATTCTTGTTCTTGGCGTGTTGACTCAAATTTGTTTCAATTCGTATAGAAAGGTAGGTGTGGCCAAAATCTGCTCAGAGTGCTCCTGAATGTCAGCAAAACTTGGTTGGCTGGTGTTTGGGAAGTCACCAACAAATTCGGGAGAAGGTTGTGAAATGTGTGACTTGATGTACTCAGTCTGCAGATGTATTCATGTAATCTTCTCAAAGTTTCTGTATGTCATGGATAACAATGTTTTATTTCCAGATGCCACAGTCTCCTTCCCTCTAGGGTTGTATCTTGCTACAGTAACTGTGTTTTTCTGTCCCAGATTTTCCCATCATTATGGGGTTTGAACCACTAGTCAACCAGCGCCTTCTCCCCCCCACCTTCCCTCGGTACACCAAGATAGTCGGCAGGGAAGCTGCCATGGAATACTTCCAGGTGTGTCTCTTTTGGCAACTTAGATTTGATTTAATTTGATTTATTGAGATTGTAACAATAGAATACATGTGGAACAAAGGCAGCTGTTGCTGGTGTTGTGTCCCACACATAGAACAAACAGGACAGAACAATACTCATTTTCACTTGAGTCTTTCCCAAGAGCTCAACATCGGTGGCATGTCAGGACTTGAACCTGGGACCTCTTGGTTCCGAGTCGAGCACTCTGGCATTACACAGATTTTTTTTCAATCAGACTCAGGACTCAGGAGTCAAGATGTGTTTATTGCATTTTCCTAGTAACCCAGTCACTGAATCGCAGACAATTTATAAGTTGTTTAAAAGCTGCACATTATACGTTAAGTTACAAACCATTGAAACATTACAAATATCAATATCTTATAACACGCAGCACTATAGAAATCCATCTGTCAAAGTATACGTGTACAGTACTTTGTTCTGTTGTTATTGCAGGGTCTGTTGATCAGGCTGGGTCAAGTCTGTGAGGTTGTGAACATCAGCTCTATACACACAGTGCTGGACTTCTTCATAGAATTCAGCAAGGCCTCTCCTTGTGTGCTGTCTAGATCACTACTACAGGTGAGCCTGCTTTTGTCAGGTTAAGAACTCTTGAAGGTAAAGACAGATTGCACTCCACTTTTTGTTGTGAGATTGTGTCAGTAGATGTAGTTTACATATTGGGACAATACGGGTAGCCTTGCTTCTTTCCTGTGATAAAATGGACATCTCAGTCCAATTCTAGGTGCCTCTGTGAAAAATGAAGATTTTTGTTTTTGGTTTGTCTATGTGTGTCCGTGTGTGTGTCTGCATGGCCCTTAGGTCAGGTTGTAATGGATATGGTTGCGTTCAGTCTGACCCAGAGAAAGTCATTAATGACGTCATGCACTCTACATCTTGTATAGCACTCACTGTTTTTCATTACATGACCTCCTTGACAGCTGAAGTCGTTTGCCTTGCACAATAAAGAAAGATAACATGGTGTAGTTGTTACACATGGTGAATGAGAAGAACACACAGTCACCATTACCATCTAAATATTTCATGGAGGTATGAGATCTCTGTATTCTTCTTTATAGGAAGTTTTTCTCCCCCTCATCTTAGAAAAAATACACAACATGCCATGTACACACAGTCTACTTTTAAAATCATGTACAGAGAGGAATAATTGCATTCCTGTCTGCAGGTTCTTGCTGTGTCTACAGACAGGAAGGTTTTTGGCACTCTGCCATTCAGAGAGGCCTTACGAGAGGCTGTGAGAGCCTTCAACTATCCACCAGCCCTTATACCCAGGTACAGGTATCCTCTTTGAATGTGAATAGCCAGTATAGATTGTCACAGTTTCAGGGAGGTGTATTAAATACTCTGAACTGAAGTAGAATTCTTGTCAAGCAGTTTTTAAAAAATTTCCGTAACGCTACACTGACTTAATTATTCATGGATGACATCCTCTAAAGACCCGCAAACTAGTGCGCATCGGCGAATAAAACAAATTCCAGCAAAAAAGTGCTGCTAAACCACAGGAATTCAGCTGGTATTGTGAATTTGCGGTACTGTAGTACATACATGTAGCGACTTTTACGACAAGCTGGCACATGCTGGAGTTTTGTGACATTTGAGTCAGCACTGTACTGAGTTCTGTGGAGCTTCGGCAGCCTGGGTGCTGTCCTCTGTAGTTACCGTCGGCTCCCTATTGTTGCTAGCTACCATATCGCATAGACGATAGAGGATGGCACCCAGGCCAGAGCCTTGAGAACAGGCAAAAATCAATGCGCGGGTGGATGTCATACAGTCATAAAATTTAATCAATGTGACCTATTTGATTATATATTATTGTCTCAGATAGAATCTTTGATGAGTACACCTCAGATTTCAAACAGTACTTTGAATGCCTACATCTATATCTTATTTCATTCATTCTATTCACATTTAATGCCTTTCTTCTATCTTGACAGGTCTTATGTGTTTAATAATCCTCAAGCCAAGGAATATGTTGATGCCTTCTTAAGCAGAGCAGTGAGGGTAAGTGTTATGTTTAAATCTTTGGGCCTATCAAATGAAACTAGGCTAAGATTGATGATGAGATTTTTTTTATTTAAGATTCAGGTTAGGCTAGTTCCCAGAGGATGTCAATCCGTATAATCAAATTAACATGGCCTAACTACACTAAACAGAATTTTAGATGACTTTTGCTTCCATAGGATAATCCATGAGGAAGATGCTATCTGCCCTTTATCTTGAATATGTACCCACAGATAACTCTTTTAGCAAGAATAAAGATTCATGAGTGAAATAGAAATGCATAATGTTTCCCTCCGCATATGGTCTGCTCTGTTAATTCTTACTCAAACAAATCCATATTATATGGATTGAGTCTAAATCCTTCCAGTCGAGTCTAAATCCTTCCTGCTATAGAATTGCAACATGATGTAACCCAACACCAGTTACCATGGTGACAGACATCTGGTTTGGGTCATTGACCTCGTTGGTTTGGAGAAGAAGGGGAAACAATATGTTTTCCTTCTGTAAACATGATAACTACTATGTGTGATTGCTGTCACTGACATCTCCCCTTGCTTCCCTGCAGCCCTTCAGTAACCTGTTACAGATCCACGGGCACAACCGAGCCAGACAGAGGGACAAGTTGGGACACATACTGGAGGACCTGTCCAGTCTACAGGACGAGGTGACAGCTTTAGACTTGAGGGAGATAATGATGGATTTGTCATTCTCAAAAAGTTTAATAGAATTTCATGGAATACTACGTATGTTTACTCCAGTAGCTGACTGAATAAAGTGAAACTTAACAACCACCCAGGGGCCTGAGGAAACATGGTCGTCTTGTACAAAAAGTATGGCAACAAGACAATACAGAGAGCAAGTAAACCACAGCAATAGACTACCCCATTGAGCCAAAGTAACCCAGCTGGCACAATTTACATTGTGCAAAGACTGTCTATTCTCAAAATCAATTGGAAACTGGCCATCAAGGTTTCTTGCTCCTTATCATCAAAAAATGTTTTCTGCTACATGCTTGAAAATGATGCAGTCGTCCTTGGCAGAGATTGGGCTATGTGCGGTCTCAAATATTCCCGGTTGTGGTCAAGGTGAACAAGTCCCTAAATGCTTACAACAGTACATGTATGAAGACAAAATCGGGACTGCGAAAAAGTAGCTATTGTGGCCATGCAGATCACTGTGTTATAGTGGTGGTCGCTGGGCAAGTTTGACTGTATATTTCTTGTGTTTATGTAGCCCACAGTAATGTTGATTTCCATCAGTGCTTTCAAAGGAAAATATCCCATTTCAGACCATAAGAAAATTTTCATCATCTGCTATTTGTCTTTAACCCAAGGAGTAACTTTTTTTTCCTTCCTTCCACAGGCAGACAAGGTTGACGCTGCCCTGCACTCCATGATGATCAAGGTGGACCCCCAGCGCCAGCACCTGGCCTGTTTTGGCACCTGGGTCCTGTACCACATCCTCCGCATCATGATCCAGTACCTACTGTCTGGTCTGGAGCTGGAGCTGTACAGCACACATGAGTATCAGTATGTCTTCTGGTAAGTGTGTTACTTTGTCCTTTTCATGTACCACACAGTGTCATTCTAATTTCTCTAAAGTAGATGTTTTGTATCAACTAGCACAGCTCTTGGCATTGTCAATGTGGTTTACTTGAAATTTTTCTTTAAAAGCATCTAATTCGATTTCAGGGTGGCAAAACTATATATATACAGAAATATTCTGATTAAGGGAATCTTTGTGATATTGACACATACCGTATTGTTTCACATTAGCACATTTAAATCAGCATTTCATACTTTTGCCATTTAAAACTGCAGAAACAAGCCCCAAGATGAGACCTTTATTTTCTGTTTTATTTTACCATTTATTTAAGTCAGCCCAGGGCCCTTCCAGTAACCGTTTTCATCAGAATTTTTGGGAATTTTTGCTCCAGGAGGGTCAATATACATTGGGATAGTGTGGTTTCAACTCAGTATATGACTAGAATATTGGCTTTGAAGTAGCCCTAAAAACTGCTCGGGATGCATTTAAAACTAAACACCAACATTGCCTCCAGACTCATAGATTTCCTTCTTGGTTTGCCCTGTTGTGTTTTTTTAAAACTGTCAGGCGTCATGTGTCCAATTAGTCTGCTTTCCAGGTTGGCCGCCTCATAGTAATTTGTATCATCCAGACAATTTCCCAAGAACATTAATACATATGCAATGTTACAAACACTGGAGAAGATTGGAAACATTGTGTAGTATGGCAGAAATAAAGGTACCACAATACAGAAAAAAAAACATGCTGCTTCAACTGGACATTCAACAAGAATTTAAGATGCAAGCTTGATTTAAAAAATTCAATAATTGACTTGTCCAAAATTTACATGTAAGTGCTCTATCAAAGAGCAGTTCTTGAGTGGTCCCTGTTCACTTGAAATACTGTGACTCCTGATATTTTCACTGTACGTTTACGTTCACGGTTTTCACAGTCACCGCTAACTTTATTATCGTAACTTTACAATCAATACCCTTAACAAATGATTCGTCTTTCACCCCCTCCCCCTATCACCGTGAACATATAGTTCCGTGACCACCTTCATTTTTCTCAGACCGTAAAATTTTACTACCCTGAACATAAAGTGACTTACAGTCTGTGTTTCTGTCAGGTATCTGTATGAGTTTCTGTATGGCTGGCTGCTGTCCACCCTGTCTCGTGCAGAGGCCATGTACCAGGAACACGACGCGTACATGGAACAGCAGAAGGGAGGCAGCAAGAAGAAGAGCAAGAAGAAAAAGAAAGGTGAGCTGCATGTAGGGAAAGTATACTATCCTAGTCTGTATGAAGATGTTTTTATCAAGTTCAGGGCTCAAAATACCCACATGCAACTTGCAATTTGCTTATCCTGCACATGCAATTTTGTATGTTGAAAAAATCAGACGGACTTCCCTTAAAACTGTGAAAGAAAGAAATTTTTAAATCTATTTATTATCTCTTTTCTGTGTGAAAAATATGTATATTGTTGTTATACAGGTATATACTACAAATGTAATGTTGGAGAGCTTTAGTGTTTACTACTGACGAAATTCAATTTTGTACGTAGATTTTGCTAATAACATGAAGAATTTTTGCCCACATGCAATTTTGCATGTAACCGACAAAAAGGATTTCAAGACCTGAAATTGTTGTGCCTGCTAGGCCTAAAGCACAGTCATCTGTGTGTCTGGAAATACCATGTTACCTGATGTATCTACCATGTTTGTGAAAAGTGTGTACAAAATCTGATGTTCCAATAGAGATCAGCAGTATAACTGTTATTAAATGTGTGTCAATATGCAAGACACAATACAAGTTAATTTGTATGAAAGCATGTGTGCCATGTGTTTTATGTCATGTTTCTAGTTTAATTTCTGGTGTTACTGGTAGTGACCTTGTTGAGAAAACTTTGTGTCCCTCCAGGCCGACCACCAAGCAAGGAAATTGTACTTGGCCAAGCTGAACAGAGCTTATGTGGAGGGTATTACAAGGTATGAACTGATCCATGTGGGATATAATTGTTTGTTTTGATACATACATTTTTGTAATAATATATATGAAAGCTTTTGTAAAGTGGATAAACTAGAATTTGTTTGAAGGATATGAAAAAGTGTGGATTTTTTTATCATAGTCTTGTTCTTCTCTGTTTCTATTTTTACCTTTGCAGAAGGAAAACATATTTTTTTTGCTCTTCTTCTTCTTCTTCTTCTTCTCCCTCTTCTCCAAACAAATAAAGTCCATGACCTGGACCAGAGGTCTGTCACCATGGTAACTACTGCTGTGGCAGACACCCTGTGGTGTCAGGTTACATTTTTTTGACAAGACAGATTTGGAGGGCCTGGTCCCCATAGATATGAATATGAAATGTGTTTGAGTAAGAATATGCAGAGCAGTAGTTTCTAGATTGTAATGCATTTGCTTTGCAAATGTTACCTTTCTAGTTTATCCATTATTTCCCATTTTGTAAGGGAAATGTCTTTAAAAGTTATGTACTAGTGATACTTGTTACCATATTAATGTCGGTATGTTGTTCTCAACAGGCCATACAGGGCTTCTACCTCGATGAGCGGTTGAAGAAGCCGGTGTTTGAGTTCGATAACGAGCAGGTTCGCTATGAGCATCGCTTCGCGCCCTTCGCCAGCATCGTCACCCCCCCACTGGTGCCATATTCACAGTTCCAGGCAAGTCAACCTCCCCTGTAGGCTTCAAGTCATGTTACTACAATGCAGACAAAACAGAATTAGGTGCAGGTTACAGTGTAGGTTTACAACATATTAAAGGCATCCAATTCAATTTCAGGGAAATCCGATGCAAAACTGGATTTTCGAAGTCAATTTTCTTGTTATTCTTTTAATGTAGCAAGTTGAATCGATCCTGTTCCATATTTTATATAGTGATATCTTTGAGGCAAAAATGTGATGTCGCTGATGGAAAACGGTTGCTTGTTTTGTATTGTAGGCTGGTTTTATTTATGGGTGGCACCAAAAAATAAAGGGATTCCTCACTTAGCTTGTTTTGGGCAATTTCAAATGGTTTAAGTATAAAATGGGCTAAGAAAATGTGCTAAGAAATGCCAAATGAGTCAATATGAGACAGATTTTGATCATCCAGAATATTTTTTGTTTTGCCGCTCTGAAATTGCATTGGATGTCTTTAACTGTACTCCCCTACTCAGTATGATACAATAAAGGCTTAACAGGATTTCATAGACTGGTTTTCCATTGAGTTATGTCTGTCCCAACAATCTTCTTTATTTCACCAGGACATGGTAGCTCTGGAGAAGTTCTCCCCTCCCCTACAGCCTGCAGACTTCTACGTCCAGGCCTGTAAATGTTTCCAGCAAGCCAAGAACATCTACGAGAGTTTCCCCAACCAAACCAAGGAGGTGCAGACGCTCTGTAAGATCGCCAAGACCAACTTTGTAGTCGTCAAGCTACTGCTGGGAGGTCACAAAAGAGAGTCCAAGGTATGTTCTCCACTTGTGCTGTGTGTTCTTTGACCAATTCAATTTGCTGGGAAATTAAGGTAAGATACTAGTAACTCAAAGTGGCTATATTATGAGAATATGGTAAGAAGAAGAAGAAAAGACTACCGGTAGATTTTTTCGTCTTGTATCATATTAACTGTCGTATGAAATAGTAGTATCAAGTTGAACTCATGGCTTCACTTGTCCACTGTTGCAGTCACCCCCAGAGTGGGACTTCACAGAACACAACACTTTCCCCATCATAAGACTGACCTAACGCCTGCCGTGTCCTGACATCCGGGGTCCTGCTGAAATTCTCTGTCATCAGCTTTTAGAACTGTTGGCTCCACACCAACTGGAGCACATGCTTGGCTCAGCAGGGTATGTTATATGTGGCAGATATGGAGTACTTGCCATCTAACCTAGAAAATTTGTCAGCACTCAAAGAAAGACTGCAGTGTTCGTTGTGGTCAAAACAGGGCTCTAGCCAACTCAAATTTTTTTCTGTCAGCCCAGGTTCATAATCAGACTTGGGGGGAGAGTCCTCGCAATCGTGGGGGGGGGGGGGGGTCCAGGGGTAAATTTTAGATTTTCAAGCTTTAACAAAAATTCAATTTCCAACAATATCACAATATTACAGGCGAATCATGGGGTTGAGATTGCTTGTCAATTTTGCCCGCCAAGGTTGATGGCTTGGTTTAGAAATTTTTCCACCACATGCCACAAAATTCCAGATCTGCAACTGACACAAAAATGGGTGTTGGCTAGAACTTCATTTGTTCATTGAGTCAATGTCTCTCTTTAAATGGAAGCGCACCAGTCTATCCACAACCCCCAATCTGAGCTGAAGCCTTACACTGATGGGTACCAAACTACTGCAGTGTGTTCAGTTCACCATGCTGTAACTATAAGTATGAACCAAATAAAAAAGTTGTTGAAATATACATGTATATTGCTATGTTCTCACTCTCTCACTATCCGGTTTAGTGTCTGTTGTTCCCCATCTTCGGAGGCTTGATGGCAGCCTGCCATTTGCCTCTGTCCTGTGGGTTCACATTAGGCCACACCAATTTAATTTGTTGGTTCTCGGATTTTTTCAGAAAAAATATGAAGCGACAGGGCGAAATAAAATAAAAAATAAAAACAGGTCTAGGCATCCTATCATAGCCCCAAATGCTAAGATAGGAGCCAAGAAGTCAACACAAAAGGCTGGGTTAATATTTAAACAATGAATTTTGAACTTTTAATCAAACCACTGCATTCATAGATGGAGTTAAACTGTAATAACTAGGAGCTACACTGGTTGCGGAGAGATACTCTATGAAGACAGATATTATAATCCGCGGCCTAGCGTATCACAAAGAAGAGTCCCCGGATCAAGTTGTCCTCAGTTTCCTGTCACGCCATCTTGGTATCAGCGTGGTTCCTCCCTTGGTGGCAGTACACCGGCTGTCCCGTCCTACAGAGAGTCAACCCAACCCTGCCATGCTGGTGCGACTGGTGAGTCTACAACACAGGGAACTGATCCTCGCCACATGGAAGAAGCTACACGCAGACAAGAAGAAGGGGTATGCGGTACACGAACACTTGCCACGTCCACTCCAGCAAGCAAGAGCCAAACTGATGGCAGCCAGAGACACTGAGATTGACAAGGCTAAGTCACAGAACAAGGAGGCCAGAGTCTTCATCAGAGTACCACCAAAGGACACTAGTGCAATCCTTGTAGTCAATGGGAAAACTCTGAAAACAGTGGACGCGGTAGATCTTGTATTTTCGTGAATAATAACAGTATAGATTTATATATATGTATGTATCCTATTATGTATTTTTGTACCCAGTGATATTTGAAATTTGCAGTATACTGTAAGAAAATGTGTGGCATATTGTTCCTGGCAGGAACAGATGTATACTGTCCCCGGAAGTAACAGATTTAATGATGCACTGTGTACAGCTCAGGAGTTATTGTGGCATGTGACATGTATATTTGATTGATACGATGGATATTAAATGACTGAAACACAAATATTTTCTGTATTTATTGTTAAAGATGTTACTGGCACTCTATAATGGTAGGCATATACTGATGAGAAGTTTATTTTTCATTCTGTTTATTTATCATTTGGTATGATTTTGATTCCTATTATGTTTCTGTTACTTTTTGTTTGAACAGATAGTCACCCCTGAACTATGATTAAGGGGAAGCCCTTTCAGCACATGATTTTGTTTTCTGTTACCTTTATAATTTGATTTGGTTGTTGTATAATTTACTGTGCTGGTAAGGGAAATGAGCAACAAGTTCTTCAAGCTTGCTTTACTATTATGATATTTTGTTATGTCTACAATGGTAGGCATATATTGATGAGAAGTTCTTTTTTTTACTCTGTTTATCATTTGGTATAATTTTGAATTCTGATTCCTATTATGTTTCTGTTACTTTTTGTTTGAACAGATATTCACCCCTGAATTATGATTAAGGGGAAGCCCTTTCAGCACATGATTTGTATTCTGTTTTCCTTTATAATTTGATTTTGGTTGTTGTATAATTTATTGTGCTGCGTGTGCTGAAAAGGGAAATGATCAACAAGTCCTTCAAGCTTGCTTTATTGTTATGATATTTTGTTATATTATGTTTCTGTTATATTTTCCTTCTGGCGGAATTCTGTAAATGAATGATACAGTTCAGAGGAGCCACACAGTGCCCTACATGAATGACGCGGCCTTTATGTTTTTGTTTTGGTTCTGAGAACCTAGTGATGTTGTATTTAGTTTATGTAGTGAACCATCCCGATACATGTGTTATTTTCCTTTTGAGTTATACTGATTACTTCTGTTCAGTTTGTTTTGTTTTCATTAGTCAAAGAGATATTATGATTCCATCATCCCCACCTTACCCAGATGACTTCTGCAGATTTCCAACCTTACCAGACACATCCCAGAGGCCATGACACAGGTACAGCTTCAAATTTCCAGTTTTAATTGTAATGGTCTTGGTAACTTGATTAAACGCAGGGAAGTTTTTACTTGGCTTAGAGATAAACCATATAATATTATTTGTCTTCAAGAGACCCACTCTACCCTACCTGTTGAGACCAGATGGCAAAATGAATGGGGGGATCCATGGTATTCTCACATGGCACTTCCAATCAAAGAGGTACAGCCATTTTGTTTAAAAATGATATTAACCCTGATATCCATCAAGTTAAGACAGATAGTGATGGGAGATGGGTTATTATTGATTTGACTGTTGATAACTATAGATTTTGTTTGGTAAATTTGTATGCTCCAAATGATGATTCCCCTGATTTTTTTTACAAATTTGTCTGTAGAACTAGAGAATTTTGAAGAGAGTAATGAAAATATGATTATTACAGGTGACTTTAATACAGTACAGAACCCTTTATTAGATAGACACTCTACAAATCGTGCTTACCATACTAAAGCATTAGAATGTATTTCTGAACTGAAATGTAAATTTGATCTCCATGATATATGGCGTTTTAAAAATCCTAATGTAATTAGATACAC